TTTTTTGTCTTTTTGCGACAGGGTCTTGCTATGCAGTACAGGCTGGCCTTGAGCTCACTTTGTAGCACTGGCTGGTCTGGAACTTGCGACAATCCTCCTGCTTCAGCCTCCTGAATGCTGGGATTACAGGCATGTGCCACCAAGCCCCGGGCTAAACAAACCATTCTTTACTGTGTCTAATGGGGTCCAACATGACCTGGCCCCTGCTGTGTCAGTCAGCTTTCTATTGCTATAACACATATCTGAAATGAACAATTTAAAAAGAAAAGGTCCATTTGGCTCACAGTTCTGGAGGTGCAGCCTGTAATCTGTTGACCCTGTTGCTACTGAGCCTGTGTCGAGGCAGCACACATGGAGGGAGCCTGTGGGTGGTGGGTCACAGTTGCTCATCCATGGCTGGGAAGTGAACAAATAAAAAAGGGGCGGCACTGGGGTCCCACAGTTCCCTCAGAGAACACATCCTCAGTGACTTAGGGACTCCTTAGACCCCATCTCCTAAAGTCCCACCATCTCCCGAAGCATCTTGGGCTGGGGGCCAAGCTTCCACACACAGGCTCTGGGGGACACCCTAGATCCAAAGTGTCACCTCTTCCAATCTGCTCCCCATGCTGCAGCTATGTGGACTATCTTTCAATTCCTGCAGTATATCTGGCTCATACCTGACCCAGAGCCGCCTATCATATTGCCCTTTTTTTTTTTTTTTTTTGGTCTTTTTGAGACAGGGTTTCACTCTGCAGTTCAGGCTGACCTTGAGCTCACTTTGTAGCCCAGGCTGGCCTCAAACTCGTAACAATCCTCCTGCCTCAGCCTCCTGAGTGCTGGGATTACAGGCGTGTGCCACCACGCCCCGGCTGTCCTTCTCATATGGGTTCCCCTATGATAACATTCATGTTACCAGAGCTCTGTGAGTATTTAATAAAAAATAAAGTGAGGATTATAGCAGCAGCAGCAGAAGCGGCAGCAGCAGCAACAACAATAACAGCCATAAACTTGCCTTGCTTCACCCTCCATAACCTTCATACCCACACTGTGAAGCCACTGCTTTTGCATCTTTAGCTACCTCTTCCAGTTACCAACATGTTTCCAAATAGCATGTTTATACTGTTATTTCTGAATTTTCATTTTAGACATTATCTGGGGGGTTTTTTTCTTTTCTTTTTTTTTTTTTTTATGTCTTTTGAGACAGGGTCTCGATATGCAGTTCAGGCTGGCCTGGAGCTCACTTTGTAGCCCATGCAGTTGGATGTATTCAAAAGTTAAATTTGAAACCACCATTGAACTCACAATGAACTTCCTGTCTCAGCCTCCTGAGTGCTGGGATTACAGGTGTGTGCCACCACACCCAGTTTTAGACATTATCTGTTGATTTGTTTCTCTTTTTTTCAACACTTTTTTTTGTTTTTCCGGTACTGGGAATTGAACTCACGACCTTGCGCTTGCCAGGCAGGCGCTGTGCCGCTGAGCTAAATCCCCAGCCCTGTTTCTTTTTTTTTCTTTTGGTACTGGGGATTGAACCCAGGGCCTTCATAGAGAGCTATATTTCCAGCTCTTTTTACATTTCTTAAAATCTAGAGACAGGGTCTCACTAAGTCACTATATTGCCCATGCTCAAATTTGTGATCCTCCTACCTCAGCCTACCAGTATGGTGGGTTCATAGGTGTGGACTACCACATCTGCTTCATCTGCTGATCTCTTAAATTGAAAGGGAGGATTTTACTCTTCTTCACTGCAGTGCACTTCCTCCTCTGCTCACAATGAGGTTATGGTCCATCTATTATGGAAATATTTATAGCCAAGGCACTCAGTGTGCTATGTTGCTGGCCTTTTCTAGAATACTTTCCCATGCCACCTTCACTGGTTTTATTTGCTGAGTCTTGTCCACAGTATCACAAGTTGATCTCTTCACTGAGTGAAGGTGTAAATCTCTCTCAAAATGTTGAAAACATTTTGAGGTGTGGTGGCACACATCTGTGATCCCAGCTACTCAGCGGGCTGAGGCAAGGGGATCACAAATTTGAGGTCACCCTGGATAGCTGTGAGTCTCTGCCTCAAATTAAAAAATAAAAGGGGTTGGGGATGTAGCTTGGTGTACAGTGCCCCTGGGTTACCTCCCCAGTACTGAAAAATTAAATTTGAAATCAGCAGCCATGTTTCCATTTTCTTTTCTTTTTTGTTTTTCCAGTACCTGGAATCGAACACATGACCTTGCGCTTGCCAGGCAGGCACTGTGGCGCTGAGCTAAATCCCCAGCCCCCCATGTTTCCATTTTCTTAGAAACAGCCCTGTGGGTTACCAGTGCTGTCACAGCTCCCTTTCCCCCACTGTAGTGGGGTCCTCTTTTTCTGGATTCCTTCTCTTTTTTCTTGGCTGGCTTCCTTTAAATATATAATGGATTATGTTCTCAACGATCTTCTCAAGAAAAGATTCATAAGAGGTAAAATTCTGGACTTAGTGTGTCTAAGAATGCTTTTATTTGGCCTTCATATATGGTTGATAGTTTTGGTGGGTATAGAATTCTAGACTGGAAATAACTTGTCTTCAGTATTTCGCAGGCATGATGCTCTGGTCATTTGTTATTGTTGCACAATAAAATACCCCAAACAGTGACTTAAATGAGAATTTATTATTATTGTATTTCATGATTCTCTAGGTCAGGAATTTGGGTCAGGTATAACAGGAATTGCTGAACTCCAGCTGGAGATGCGTGGAAGGCTGAGGACGGGAGCAGGGGTTTGGCCAGGCATCTTGCTGTCTCTGCCCACTCAGGCTCATAAGTGTGGTTAGCTTGTGTTCCTTTTCTTCTAGTTCCAGGGATTGACCCCAAGTCCTTTGCATTGCAGGATATCCCCACTCGTTTTAAATTTTTTATTTGGAGACAGACACTCACCAAGTCTCTACGCTGTCCAGGCTGGCCTCAAACCTACAGTCCCCATGGGGCTGGGGATTTAGCTCAGCGGCACAGTGCCTGCCTAGCAAGTGTGAGGTCGTGAGTTTGATTCCCGGTACTGGAAAAAACCAAAAAAAAACAAAAAACAAAAAACAAAAAACCTACAGTCCTCCTGCCTCAGCCTCCCAGAGTGCTGGGATTACAGGCATATACCAGTGCCCCCATCTAGCTTGTGGCTCCTTATAATATGGTGGCCTTGGGGTGGTTAGATTTCTTATAAGGCATCTCTGGGTTCCAAGATCAAGTGTCCCAAGAAGCCCTGTTGGTTAAGCAAGTCACTCAGTCTAGCTCAGATTCAAGAGCATAGGATTAGACTTCTTTGTGGCCATCTTTAACTAGTCCTAGGGGAGGCTGATGATGCTGGTGTTGGTGGTGGGAGGCAGGAGACTGGAGAGGAACTGAGGAGAAATGAATGGGATGTGGGTGTTTGGGAACAGTGGAGGTCAAGTGGGTGGATCCTGGAGGCGGTGGAAGGGGGCCTTGGTGAGGAGTTCTGGCTGATACTGTGTTTCATGGTCAAGGCCAGGCCCTGGAAGCCTTTCTGCCTCCCTTTTTCCTCTCCCAGCTGCCTCCCTCTTGGCTGCGAAGGCGCCAGGGCAGGAGGGAAAGCCGCCAAACAGGAGACGACGCTTGGCAGCCCCTGTGTTCCTTTGTTTGCTTTAAAGCTTTAACTTAATTCATTTTTGGAAAAGTTAATACATTCACTGAACACAGAAGTACATACAAGTAAATATCCTGTCTCACAGAATGATTATGGAGAAGCAGCATGCACAAAACTTTCTTGGCAGAGAGCAAGAAGCAGAACATGTGGGGAGCCTGACACATCCCCCCCTCTTTGTGTAACGTACCAACTGTCATTTGGGATTAAGATTTAAGGTTTCCGATCTCCCAGCGACAATGAACCAAAGCCACACTTATCTCCTTTTCCTGGATGGAGAGCTTGCCACTTCGGGCAGCCAAGGAGGGTGGCCCAGGTAGGGCTTCCCAAGGTCCCTCGGTTGTCATTCGGTAAGAGGTACACAGAGAGCAGCAGCGGCCGCCCTTCTGGAACCGACCTGACAGGAAGCCCTTCTGCCCTGGGGGGTGTTGCTAGCACTCCATGGAGCACACTTCGGGGAAGGCTACAATTTTTGTGTTGTTGTTTGTTTGTTTGTTTTGTAATAGGGTCTCGCTGTGCAGTTCAGGCCAGCGTTGACCTCACTATGTAGGCCAGGTCAGCTTCAACTTCACGGCAATCCTCCTGCCTCAGTCTCCCAAGGGCTGGGATTACAGGCGTGTGCTACCACACCCAGCAAAGAGGGCTATAAGTGTGTCAAGTGGGACAAGCATCCTGCCCAACTGCCCGGAGTCCCCGGATGGTCCTGGTCAAGTCACAGTCCCTCTCTGGGCTCTGGATCTTGAAGAATGCTATTAGCTTGGACACTTGAAGCAGGCAAAGTAATATCATGGTCAAGGGCATGACTCCTGGGCTCCAAAAGGCCTGTGCTCGATACATGGTCTTCTCACTGGCTCTGTGAGGCCTCTTGCAACTGCCTTCATCTCTCAGCTTTGGTATCTTAACAGCTGTCTCATAGTTGTAGGAGTGATGCCCTCATCCATTTAAGGGCTGGGGTATAGACCGATGGTAGGTGTTACCTAGCATGCTCCAGGCCCTGAGCTCGGTACTGAGAGAGGGAGAAGGAGAAGAGGCTGAGAGAGAAGGAGAGGGAGAGGGAAAAGCACAGGGAGGGGGAGGGAGAGCAGGGGGAGGGGAGCGGGGAGAGGGAGAGGAACAGGGAGAGGAAGATCTCATGTATCTAAGATGCATGAAGCAGTGCGTGGCACCAGGGGTCAAGTTAAGATTCAACCATCCTGCCCATCCCAGCCATCACCCAATGGCTCCCCCAACACTGGAGCATCCGGAACATGGGCAGAGGGTGTTAGGGGCTCTGCAGGGGAACTACTGAGCTGAGGGGTAGTAGGTGGGCTTGGGGTTACACTCAGATGGATGGGGCTCTGCCAAAAGAGAGAGACCTGGTTCCAGTTACCCCTCCTTGATACATCTTCCCCCAGGTCCCTCAGAGATGGCCCGGCGGTGGCTGCCCTGTCTCCTGCTTCCTGCCCTCATGGTGTCCGGTGGGTACCTCCCATCTCCCAGAAGAGCAGCACTAAGCTAGGGACCTGCAGCAGGACACGACTGTGGGGGGAGGCCTTGCTCTGACTGGCAACGCAATCTCCTAAGGCCAGGCCCGGTGGTGGGCTGATGCCCTGGGGAGGCCTGGGGTGGAACCCCGTCTTAGGCGGTAACCTCCCCTGCAGGTTGCCCACGATGGGTATGAGTTCCCAAAGGAATAGCTGGGGATATAGCTCAGTGGCATAAGTACCTGCCTGGCAAGCACAAAGTCCTGAGTTTGATTCCCAGTACCAAAAAAAACCCAAAAAACCAAAAACCAAAAACCAAAACAGAGTTCCCAAGGGAGTGGGGTGGGGTGGCTTTGCAGCGGTGTCCAGATGTTCCAATGCTATGTCCCTACAGTGGCAGCCAATGTGCCCCCGAAGTTTCTGTCCAACTTGACGATCGTGTCCCTGCCTGAGGACCTACCAGTGGGTGAGTAGTGGTCCCTGTGCCTGGACAGGGCCAAGCCCTGACCCACAAGGAAGTTCCAAGGCTCCCTCCTTGGCCTACACTGTTCCTGCAGCCCCAGGGCTCATCATAGACAAGGTAGCCTAAAGAGAATCCCTTCCTTTCTCTAAGCTTCTCCTCTTCAGCTTTTGGGTCAGGGGCGTCAGATGTGAGGGTCGCTCAAATAATCAAAGCTCATTCTGTTTCCATCCCTCTCAGTTTTCTGATCTCCCCAAGCGGGTAGAGTTTGGAACCATTCCTTGTATTAGCTCTCATACCTTTGCAAATCTATCGCTGTCTCCTGTTTTTTGTTGTTGTGGTGCTTTTAAACAAACAACCTCAGGCTTGAAGCATTTCCTAGACACTTCTTGCCAGAAATTAATAAATTTGCTTTGCTTTTGTTGTTTTTCTTTGCAGTGTTACCTTTTCTCTATGGCAAATGCGAGGCATTTTCCACTTATGGCAGTGATCGGAAGTTTGTTTTAAAAACAAATGTACTGCCGGGCTCGTGGTGGCGCACGCCTGTAATCTCAGCACTCAGAAGGCTGAGGCAGGAGGACTGTTGCGAGTTCAAGACCAGCCTGGGCTACAAAGTGAGCACAAGGCCAGCCTGAACTGCATAGCGAGACCCTGTCTCAAAAAGACAAAAAAAAAACCACACAAAAAAACAGAAGGAAAAGAAAGGGCGGGGGAGGAGGAGAGGAGAAAGGGGAAGGGAGGAGAAGAAATCATGAATAATGATATGCAGATATGGAGAAGCTCGAGGCAGAGGTACAGAAAAAGATAAAGTCTTGGAAACATCATTTTGCACAAAGCCTGAGGCCTGAGCACCAGATTCCCACAAGGCAGGGTATGGATCAGGGGAACGGAAACAATAGATGACTGGATTTATTGCATCCTGCAGTGTACACTACACTGCTCAGCTGGAGCCCGGGCTAACCGGGGCCATAAAACTCAGCAGTAAAAATAATGAAAGGAACCAAGTTTAGAATAAAGGAAGACGGTTTATCTGAAGAAGGATGAGGAGATGAGGAGAATGTAGACGGCCCCTCGGCAGAGCGGGGGGCACCTGACAGGCATTATTGCCCACAGCTTCTTCCTATTAAGACTGACGTCCCTGCCCCTCAATGGGCACCTGGACTTGTGCCAGTCTGATTGGCTCTCTGGCTGAGTCCCTGCCTGGCCAGGGCAGCTTTGCCTCCATTCCCATTGGTCCCTCGATTCCTTCCTGCCCTTCTGTGGCGGGAGGGGGGCGCCTCAGAGAAGGGCAGCTTAGTGTTAGAAATAGGGAAGTGTGTGCCTGGCGCAGTGATGTATCGGCCCTGGAGTGAGAATAGACATAGATGTACAGATGGAGAGGTTTGTGTCTTTTTACGTACTAACAGTGTTCAGGGCCCTGCCCCTTTCTGCTTTACATTTTGTCAGGTGAGGGTGGGAGGGGCTGGTTACCCTGTTTTTTTCCTGTTTCGAGCTACATCTGTGTTCTGCCTGTCAACTCTTCCAGATAAATTCTTTTTTTTTTTTTTTTTTGGTACCGGGAATCGAACTCAGGACCTTGCGCTTGCCAGGCAGGCGCTTATGCCACTGAGCTACATCCCCTGCCCATCTTTATTTTATGTTATTTTATTTTAATTAATTAATTATTTTTTTCCTCTTCCTGATATATTCTTATGTTAATTGTGTTACCGTGTGTCTTTCCTGGCCTGGTTTCTCTCTTTGGCTTTTTTTTTTTCCCCCTCTCTTTCTTTATCTTCTGTCTTCCTTTGTTTTGTTTTGTTTTTGAGATAGGGTCTCACTATGTAGTTCAGGCTGGCTTTGAACTCGCTATGTAGCCCAGGTGGCCTTGAACTCGAGCTCCTGAACTGGCGGTGGTCCTCCTGCCTCACCCTCCAGAGGGCTGAGATTACAGGTGTTCACCACCACACCCAGCTGCCTTTGTCTTTCTAATTGCTGGAGTCTAGCTGCTGAGGCAAAAACTGCCTATAGTAAGCTTTCCTATTAATTTCTTTCCTAAAGCTTAATGAGGCCCTATTTTATTTATTTTCATGCCTACAACCCCCTTTCCCTACAGATTCATTTATTATCCCAGTGCTGGCGGCCCAGAGCTGTCGCAGGTTCTGTTCCCTTTGGGGCGGGGTCTGGAGTCAGACCCTTTTTACCCCCCTCAGCCTTCCCCAGGGTGTGGCCTCCACCCGCATGGCCCCAGGTGTCTCAAGAAATACCCTAGTCCAGCTAGGAAGAGAAAGGGGAAGGCAGCATTTCTCTTTGTCATAAGAATAGGCTCCAGGAGCACGGCTATTGGGGGACAACTCACAGTCTTTGTTACAGGGTTAGAATGGGGATCCAGAAATATCTAAAGCTTCTAGATGAAGCAAGAGACCACATCGAAGAAAGTGAAAAGCAGCATCTGCCCTGCCCTGGGATTCAGGAGCCGGAGCCCGAGTCAGCCACAAAAGGATAGGGGCTGGGCTTTGCAGACACAAAGGCCCCTCTGTTTGGATATCATTGCTGGGACAAAATGATAAGGGACAGGTTAGATTAGTAAAGGTTTGGAGCCTAGAAAGAGGGAGGAGGTAGTTTAATTATATTCTGTAGTCTTCCCTGGAGGACTAGACTCAGGTCAAATTATTTGATATCTCTGAATATTCTTTGTAGAACACAGAAGAATGCATATTAATGAGATTTACATAGATTTTCATAGAGTTTGGTCTCAGATAAAAATAAACACACATACACAGCTCCATACAGATGTTACAAATATATTAACACAATATTAGCACAACCGCCCTCAAGGTCCACTTCTGAGCAGCCTTCGAAGTCTAAGTAAAATCACTGACTCCCCATCCTAGTTTTAGAGGCTCTTGCTGTGCGTGATCTCTTTCCTGGAGGTGGTCACTCCTGCCTTGCTCTCCTTGGCCAGACCCCAGCCCTGTCCCCTGCAGTCAGCAACTGCTGCTCCCATTCTGCTCCCGTGGCTGTCCTGTCCCCACCCTGCTTCCTCCAGGCTGGAGTCCAGGCTGCATCTTTCACTGTGCATCACAGCCTTTGCTGAAGGTTTGGGGGCAATGGAGGAGACTGTGGCAGGTGACAGGGACCTAAAACCCACAGCCACCTAGCTGTGGAGTGTCTGCTCTGGGTGTGCGCTGCCCGTGCACCTGATCCAGGCCTGACTCTCCCCCCTGGCCCTGGGGTCCTGCAGGTCTCCCACCCAACTGCCTGGGGAGGGGATGAAAATCCAGTCCCTGCCTAGTTTGGAGCAGTGTGCCTCCCTCCTCTCATGATGGCCAGATGAGGGCTGCGCCATGAACGCTGCAAAATGAGAGCATTTTGCAATATGATTTTTTTAATAGATTTCTTATTCGGTCATTTTATTTTGTGGGAGATCATACGCAGTTAGCCTTCTGTAACCATGGGCTTTGCATCCACCGACTCAATAACCATGAGTCAAAACTATTTGTGAAAAGAACTGCCCCTGTGCTGAATATGGACACTCGTTTCTTGCCGTTATGTCTCCTCAATGCCTGTAACACTGTTTATGGAATGCTACACTGTATCCGGTATTACAATTACTCTAGAGGTGTTTTAAAGGATACAGTGTGTGTAGGTTGTGTGCAAAGACTACATCTTTATTTTATTTTTATTTTTTATTAGTACATGTTTCTAATACATAAGACTGGATTCCTTACGGGGAGTTGATACACATACAGGACACATCTTAATATTTTTCAGCCCTTTCCCCTCCTTCCATCTTTTGTTCCCCTTCCCATATGAGAAAGACCTATCTCCCTGCTTCTTATGATCTATTGTTTATTTTGTTCTTTGTTAATAATTTGGGTTTCTCATATAAGAGAAACCATGCACTATTTAAACTTATATGTCTGATTTATTTCACTTATTTCACATTATGGTACCCAGGTATATTCATTGTCCTACAATTGTCTCAAGTTTATCCTTCTTTATGGCACAGTAGTACTCCATTGTGTATAAAACCATATTTTAAAAACTCATTTATTTATTGATGACCATAGAGTCTGTCCCCAAGATTTAGCTAGGATGAATTCTGCTGCTATAAACATGGGTATGCATGTACCCCGGTAATATGATGACTTTGACTTTTTCATGGAGATACCTAGAAGGGGAATTGTTGGGTCTAATGGAATTTCTAGTTTTAGTGTTTTGGGGCATCTCCATTCTGATTTCCACAGTGCAGGTACTAGTTTACATTCCTACCAACAGTGTAGAAGGGTTCCTCCTCCCCACAGCTTCGCCAGCATTTGTTATAATTTGATTTCTTGATAATAGCCACTCTTTTTGGAGTAAGATGTGGTTTACATTTGCATTTCTCTAACAGACAGCAATGCTGAACATTTCTTCATGTATTTATTGGCCGTTTGTACTTCTGAGAAGTATCCATTTATTTTACTTCCCGGTTTTTGATGGGGTCTTTTATTTGGGGGGAATCTAATTTTTTTTTGAGTTCTTTATATACTCTAGATATTAGCCCTCTGTCTGAGGAACAGCTGACAACATTTTCCCTGTTCTGAAGATTGTCTCTCTGTTCTGTTGGTTGCTGTCTTTGCCGTGCACACTACACCATTCTATATAAGATTCTTGAGAACCTGTGCATTTTGTTTGTTTATTTATTTACTTATTGAGACAGGGTCTCACTATGCAGTTCAGGCTGGCCTTGAGCTTACTTTATAGCCCGGGCTGGTCTTGAACTCGCAATGATCCTCCTGCCTCAGCCTCCCAGTTGCTGGGATTATAAACATGTACCACCACGCCCAGCTCACCTGTGCATTTTGATGCCCATGGGGTCTGGAAACCAATCTGCAAGGACACTAAATATTTTACATCTGTTAATCTGTGGTTGGCTGAACCAGTGGACTTGGAGGGCCAACTGTACATACAGATAAAGACTCACATACACTCACGTACACCCACTCACCTGCGCCATTTTTTAGGTAGCGAGCCACATGATTCTGCATATTAACATTTCTGAATCAGAACGTGCCTTACAGTTGAGAAAGTCTTCTAGCACAGAGCTTCCCTCGCCGTCAAAAACAGATGTGAACTCGATAGTGTGTCTCCCAACCAAGAGCAGCATTTCAGCTGAACACTGGCACAATGACCTTCCAGAGGAGGGTGCAGAGGTGGGGAGGGGCTCGTGACGGCACCTTCCAAGCTGGAGTTGAAGAGGCTGAGACTATCGGACTATGAACAGCAGACTCCAGGGTGTGTTGCCAAGCTGTTCCTGGGGGGCTGCCATGGGCCCACGGGGCAGAGTGGCTCTATGGAAACTCCAGGCTGGGTGGCTGAGCCCCATGGCTCCGTGCGACTGTCAGCTATGATGGAGCACTTCTGCCTTCATGGGAACCTTGTCCAGAAACATGCATTCTAATTGTATATAATTTTTAGCCAACATGTAGTCATTGTATGTATTTGCGGAGTACGATGCAATGCTTCAATACATAGTATAGTGATCAGATCAGATAATTGGCATATGCTTCACCTCAGACATTTGTCATTTCTTCATATTGAAAACATTCAGCATCTTCTCCTCTGGCTAGTTTGAGACATACAGTTAATTGTTGCCAACCATAACTTTCCTACTGTGTTATAGGGTTTTCAGGGTCATCCCTCCTATGCTGTTACACCCCTGTACCAATCCACTCTCCCTTCCTTCTCTCCCCCTCAAATTATATTTTATGGCTGCATTGTCTTAAGGACAATATCACGCAGACTAGATTTAAAATCGTATTTCCTTCCGGCTTTCAAAGATGTTAAGCATTTTGGTGGGCCCCTTAATGTAGGGTGGTCCTGGACTCTACTGCTCCCCAGTCAATGGCTGAGGGCCCGGCCCTGGATGGGAGTGTAGGGAAGGTGCGTCCATGAGGTGGAGAAAGCCCTTGCTAATGCACAGCTATGCAGACCCGGCGGGTGAGGAGAGTAAGCTCCAGGTACTGGGAGGCACCAAGCAGGGGCTGGATGTGGTAAACAGGGTGAGATCAGGGGACACCTGGGGAGGGCCTGATGAATCTGTAAAAAGCCCTTTTCACGCTGAGGAGCTGAAGACCTTGAAACACCCAAACCCTGCTCTGCCCATGCTCTCCCAGCCCCTGGTCTGCCCAGGGATTCAGGGAAAGTGCTGGGCACAAATGAGGGGCCAACAGCAGATGCTGCTCTGGCTAACAAGCAGAAACAGAATGTCCTGGAAGGCTCTTGGGCCCAGTGTAACTGGAAAGCTTAGAAGAGGCCAGGCCCAGGCCCCTTGGAGGGTAACTAGCAGTCCCCAACCCAGGGGCACCCCGCTGCTGTGGCTGGAACCCACTGACTCAGCCGTTTTGAGATTCTCAACAAAGCTCAGGTTCTAGGTCCAGGGAGGCTGGGTCCATGGGCTTAGCCAGGGAGAGACCCCCAGGTAACAGCCCACCCCACTGCACTTAGGGTAGTGCCCTAGAGGAAATCAGCATGCTGTTACCCAGAGGCCTCTAGACAAGTGTCCGGTAACTACCACAACCGACATCCATAACACCAGACCCCAGGTTGTTGGGGAGGCCCCAGATTTCAGGTCGATCCTGTGTGCAAAGAAGACAAGCCCCCAGCTCAGTTAGGAAGCACTGACAGAGGTGCCACAGACCCTGGTCAGGCCCTGTTTCCTCCCCAGGTGCCGAGGCCTTCTGGATCGTAGCTCAAGACCTGGATAATGACCCTCTGACCTATGGGATTAGTGGCACTTACGCCTATTTCTTCTCTGTCAACAAAGACACCGGGGAAGTGACGCTGGCGAGCCCCCTGGACTTCGAGGTAGAGGGCAGCGGTGTGGGAGGGGCCCTGAGGGTAGGTGGGCATGCCCTGGAAGCCAGTGTCCCACAGGAGCACCTGGCCTGTGCTCCCACACTGAGCAGGGCTCGCCTTGGGCCCCTTGTCTCTGCCCTTGACAGACACAGTACTTCTTCAGCATCTCCATCTCTGTGACTGACAGTATCAACAACCCGGTGAGTCGATAGGTGCGGGGAGGGAGAGGTGAGCCCGAATGGGAAGAACAAGGTCCTCGGTGTCTATTCCTTACCATGTTGCTTACCTCAAGTGAGCAGAGAGCACTCCAGCTCATAATGAACTTAACATTTATTCTTTTTTTTTTTTTTGGTACTGGGAATTGAACTCAGGACCTTGCACTTGCCAGGCAGGCGCTTACACCACTGAGCTATATATCCCTGGCCCTAACATTTATTCTTATCAAGATTATATGTGTCCATTTTTGTCATAGAATATAACCAGCACTTTGGTATTTATTATCAATTTATTTTAATTATATAAATTTTATATGATAAATATTTTGTTAATTACAGTATTGATTTATGTTAGTATAAATCATGCCTGAAATCCCAGCTGCTCAGTAGGCTGAGGTAGGAGGATTCTAAATTTAAGGCCAGCCAGGGCAGTTTAGTGAAGCCTTGTCTCAGAAATAAAAAGGGCTGGGGATATAGCTCAGGTCAAGACCCTGGATTCAACCCCCGGTGCCTCAAAAGAAAAAAAAGTAACATTGTCAAATGCCTCCCTCCCCACACACCTCTGAGGTAATCACCTTCAGGGTTTTGGGCTGAGTGTGCGAGCGTCCGTGCTCATATTTCTGAATAACCTGCTCACGCCGCTGTGTCTCATGTTTGCAGAGGTTGAGCTTTGTCTCCAGCATCTTTTCTGAGCCCCATTGTATGAGCTGGTTTCCATTACTGCCCACAGGTGCAGAAGCAATTGCCTGTGGTGGTGGAAGACAGAAATGACAAAGCACCCATTTTCCAGAACACCGACTTCTCTACCAGCGTCAGTGAGGTAACGCCTACCTTCCTGGGAGCTGGAAGGGATCTCCCAAAGCATGTCTTCAAGAAGGAGGGGCCGGAGGCAGTCAGTAGGGCATCCGGGATCAAGAAAGGCCTCTTCTGGAAAGGGCACCTACAGAAGCCAAATCCAGGAAGAGGAAACTCCATGAGCAATAGCTCTAGCAATATGGTTTGCAAACAACCATACTGGATTGAAATTCTTAGCTGGGGATATAGCTCCGTGGCACAAGCGCCTGCCTGGCAAGCACAAGCTCTTGAGTTCGATTCCAGTACCAAAAGAAAAGTAATGGATTAAAATTCTTCCAACTAAGAAAGTAAATTAAAAAAAAAAAAAAGAAAGCAAATAAATTTTAAAAAACCAGAAGGAAAGAAGAAAAAGAATTGATTGCTCATAAATCTGAAAAATGTATAGGTACTTCTGCCTTCAGGCATGGCTGATTCTCAGACTGCATCATCAAGAAACATCTCTCTCCAGCTCGCAGCTCTGCTTCTCTTGGGGTTATCTAACCTGGGGATGGGGCTGAGGGTGGGGAACAGTTCTAAGATTTAAATGGTCGTAAAAATGTCCCCTCATAGCTCCTGGCTAAAGTCCTCCCAGTTTTATACCCTCAACAGAGAGACTGGCTCTTTCTCAGTCGGTCCAGCCTGAACCCCGGTGCTACCTTTCATTGGCTCACTTTGAGTCACGTGTCCATCCTTGAACCAATGGAGAGGTCTGGAATGCTCTGCTTGACTAAGCCTGCACAGTGGGCAGTGAGCGTAGTATCCTTCCTGAATCTTCACTACCACAGGGCTGCAAGGAGGTGGGGGAGGGGCACGCTGTGCCGTTCAGGAGGCTGGTAGGGTCTGGAGTGTCACGTCATGGGCTCTGACCCTTTGCCTGTGTTTCTGGCACTGTCCTACGTGCTTAAATTGCCCGGGAAGCGAGACTTCTCTGGTTGGTACCCTTAGGGGCTCACATTCAGGGGAACAGCGCACACAGTAATCAGTGAAACATAGAATGCGCAGGATTATTTTAGATGGCATTGAGTTCTACGAAGAACATAAACCAGGGCAAAGAGAGAGAAGGTGTGTGAGGGGCTGCTTTTGGTTTCGAGCTCAGAAAGGCTTCTCAGAGTAGGTGACCTCGGAGCAGAGACCTGAATGGCAAGCAGGAGCCTGCAGGAAACACTCCGAGGAAAGCATGCTCCAGGCAGGGGAGCAGCGATGGGAAGGCACTGAAGGTGGGAATGAGGCTGGCCAGGTAGTTGGAGGTAGAGGGCAAGGGTGCAGTGGGGCTAGAGAAGGGGCAGCAGCCTGAGCCCAGAGGGCCATAGAAGCAGTCTGGACTGCATTCTAGGTAGACTGGGGAGCCCTGGGGAGCTTTGAAGCACAAGAATAGCATGGTCCAATTTATGATCTTCAAAGACATCTTTGACTGCCTTGTGGAAGTGTCGAAGATGCGGGTGAAGGTCCAGAAGTGAATCCCTCCTGTTAGAGCCTCCCAGCCCCAGAGGGTGCGGTTAGAAGTCTAGGGTTGGGAGCTCTAGTGAGCCCATGGGGATGTTGGGGCAGGGAATTGGCACAGTCAGGCTGGGTTCTAGAATGTTCCTTCACCCTGGTCCTGAGAGACTCCATAAATCAGAAGCCAGCTCAAGCCAGGCACGATGACACAGGCCAGTAGTCCCAAGGACTCTGGAGACAGAGGCAGGAGGACCACAAGTTCAAGGCCAGCCTGGGCAGCTTAGCAAGATCCTGTTTTGAAATAAGGTGAAAAGGGCTGGAGACTTATGTAGCTTAGCGGTAGAGCACATGCCTAGCATATGCCAGGCCCTGGGTTCAATCTCCAGCTGTGGGAAGAAGAGCAGGAGGAGGAGGAAGAGCGAATCACCAGATCAGGTAGTGCTGAGGCTGTGCAGGGAGAGGAGAGTGTGGATCCTGTTCCCTTCCCCACGTCACCTCTGGCTCCCTCATCTGATCAGGGGCACATGATCTGTTTGGGACAAATGAGGAAACTGAAGCTCAGGAGTGGGGGAGAGGGATTTCAGCCCACAGGTGACAGATCCTTCCTTTCAGATGCTGCCAGTCGGCTCCCTGGTGTTCTCTGTGCTGGCCACGGACCCGGACACTGGCTCAGGGGGCTTGGTGCAGTACTCCATAGAGAGGGTGAGCGTTAAGTCTGCGGAACGGGTGTGTGAGTGCGTCTCCGGACTGCTCCTTACGGCCACCAGGGGGCAGCATCTCCACAGGCAACCAACCCACAGGGTCCTTGAGAGTCACCCACGCTGAGGCCCAGTCTGGTCCCCAAACCTCCCTCTGCCTTCCCACCCCACTTCCACAGGAACCTCACTTTGCCCCTTTGCCAAAAGAGGGTGCCTGCTTTGGGCCAAATCCTTCCTCCCCGCTCCTGCCCAGGGCACTGTCTGGGCCTCTGATGAAAGCTAATGTCTCACCTCTTGGTAGCTAACACACTTGCAGTTTCACAGGAGAGGAAAGTGAGGCCGGGTGAGGACCCAGGTCCTGTGCAAGGGTACACAGACAATAAGGGGTGCGTGCGTCCGTTTATCAGAAAAGAACTTCGTTCGTGGTTGCTCGGCTTCCTGTTTTTTATCATCTTATGGGATCCAGAGTGGGAAGCTGAGGCTTGCAGAAGTGAAGGTTGCATGACTGGTCAGTGGTAGAGCCAGGATTCCAACCCAAGTCCCCCAGAGCAGGGTCGGGTGGACAGCACTTTCCCGAGGGAGGCTGACCCGAACCTGTCCTCTGCTAAGGTCATCCCTAGTACCCCAGACAGCGAGCATCTCTTCAAGATCCTGGAAAACGGCTCCATTGTACTCAACGGCAGCCTCAGCTACAATAACAAGAGCGCCTTCTATCAGCTGGAGCTGAAGGCCTGCGTGAGTAGGGGTGACGGGAGGCCGGGCACACAGACCCGTGGCCCCAGCTCACAAAAGGCCCTTCTCCCTGCAGGACTCAGGTGGCTGGTTCAACAACAGCTTCATCACACAGTGCTCCCAGCCTGTCTTTCTGTCCATCTCAGTGATTGACCAGCCAGACCTGGACCCGCAGTTTGTCAGGGAGTTTTACTCAGCCTCTGTGTCTGAGGATGCAGCTGTGGTGGGTGCTGGGCACCCGCAGGGCTCAGGGTGGGCATGAGGGGCAGAGGGAAGGGTCAGAGGCGCTGACTGGGCCTCCTTCCAGAACACTTTGGTGCTGACGGTGCAGGCTGTGGACGGAGACAAAGGCATCAATGACGTGGTGACCTACAGCATCTCCAGTGAGAACCCAGGGTGAGGCCGGACAAGCAGGAAGGGGGGGCTCTGTCAGAGTTGCTGGAAGCAGCTGCCTTCCCTGCCTCCCTGTAGATTCCACAAGGCCTGGATGGTTTGCTATTGGGGATGATGGCGTCATCAGGGTCAGCGGCCCCCTGGACCGTGAGCAGCTCCTGGAGGAGAATGAGGAAGTGCAGTTGCAGGTCACGGTGAGAGAGGGCTCCCCAACGCTGTCACCTTAGACCTTTGATCTTATTCTTTATAGCACTGGTTCTCTGCACTCTGGTCTCTGCTCTGTGCTTTAGGCCACTGAGAAGAACCTCAATATCTATGGGCAAGAGGCCAAGGTGAGCACGTGGGTCACAATAACAGTGTTGGATGTCAATGACCACAAACCGGAGTTTTACAACTGCGTCCTCCCAGACTGCTCCTTCACCACCCAAGAGGCCCAAGACAACTTCACCGCCTACGTGGATGAGCACTCCTCCACCCGCATCCCCATTGACAATCTCACCATGGTGGCCTACGACCCAGACAAGGCAGGCACAGGGGAAGGGGCATGGCAGGGAACGACGACGGGTGGTAGCTGGGAGGGGTTTGGGGAGGCAGGAAGGTGAGTGGTAGAAGAGATGATGGTGTGCAGGTCGGTGAGCTGTGGAAGCAGAGAATTGTTGGGTGATATTTGGAAATGCTGGATGATGTTGAGTTGATGTGCTCAGGGTTGACACTAGGTAGTGTTGGGTGATCATGTGATCACACTAGGTAGTGATGGGGGTGATGATGTGCTCAGGGTGACACTAGGTAGTGTTGGGTAGGAAGCAGTGCTGAGCGGGCGTCGGTATTGGATGTCAGGTCACATTGAGTGGAGTCTGGCTTCTGGTGATGCTGGTATTGGGTGGTTGGTGATTTGGGGTAACACTGGGTATTGGGAGATGCTAGGCAGGGTTGTGTGTCGTGTCCAGAGTGAACTGAGTGTTAGGTTGGAGGGAAGTCTGAAATAAAAATTTATACTGCGTAGTAGGTAACTTGGGTGGAGCTGAATTATACATAACCATGGGTGGTGCTTGGTGGTACTAGGTGATACGCACTTGGCACAGAATTCTGAGTGGAGGATGATACTGGGCAGCATTAGGCAGGTAGACAAGTTAAGCTGGTGGCTGGTGCTTATTGAAGGGTGGGACTGGGCATAGGATGATTGCTGGGTGAGGGGTGGTGGGTGGTGAGTGGTGGCTAGCAAGGAAAGCTGACAGGAATACTTTATGGGAATGGGGAGAGTGTGACCAGGCTGTCTCTGCAGTCCTGGCCTGGGACCTGCAGTGCCTTGGGAAATCCCCTTTTGTTTGCAGAGACAAGTGGCCAGCCCAGCCTGCTGGGGCCTGTCTCCCCAGTCTTAGGAGCCCTCCATTCTGCACCCTCATTGGGCAGGGCTTGCTCAGGCAAGAGCCTGAGGCTGGAGATTGGGGAAAAGATGTGAGTGGGCAAGTTGCAGGGGGCTGGGGCTCCCACTCAACAGCCCATCTTTACAGGGCAACCATGGCACCTTCCTGCTGTCCCTGGAGGGCCCTGATGCTGCAGCATTCAGCGTGTCCCCTGGGCGGGCAGCGGGCTCAGCCGATGTGCAGGTGCTGGTGAGAGATTCGAAGGCGGTGGACTATGAGAACCGGAGCATGATGCTGGTGCAGGTGAGGGGTGCTCTGGGGTCCGGAGCAGAGGAGCCCACAGGGCAACCAGGACCCAATACTTCTGCCTGTTCTGTGCTCAGGTTGTGGCCACTGACTCGGTCAGCAGGAACTCCTCTGTTGCCACGGTGACCATCCATCTTAGAGACATTAATGATCATAGGCCCACATTCCCCCAGAGGTTGTACATCCTCAGTGTGCCGGAGAACAGTGCTACAGGGTCTGTGGTCACCAGCAGCATACATGTGAGTAACGTAGGGCGCAGCTGGCCAGGCTGGGAGGCTGACATGGAGAAGGGCAGATCTGGGAACTGTGGGCTGCCTCCGTCTTTGTATCATTCAATGTCACTGGGCCCCAGCAAGCATATGTGCCTCTGTGTGTGTGTGTGTGTGTGTGTGTGTGTGTGTGTGTGCATGGGTGTGTGCCCTGGATCCAGATGTGGAGTGTCTTCCCTCTGGGCCAGGAAGCAGGATAGCCCTGTCTCCATGAATGGCATGGTAGCAGCCAGTGCCACTGTGTCTAAACAGTATCCAATCATCCCCCCGCCTCACAGGCTGAAGACCCAGACACGGGAGAATGGAGCCACATCACCTACAGCCTGCTCCCAGGGAATGGGTAAGGTCTCAGTGTGGCAGTGGGGGATGAGCAAAGTGGGGCACAGGCCTGTATCTCTGCCTCACGACAGGGCTGGGATAGCCTGAGAAAATATAGGTAGCTGAGTTACATTTAAATTTCAGAAAAACAATAATCATTTTTTAAAAATGTATTCGTTTTCTGTTCCTATAACAATACTTGTTTATTGATCTTTTTTTTTTTGAGAGGGAGTCTTGCTATGTAATTAAGGCTGGCCTTGAACTCACTATACAGCTGAGGGTAGCCTCAAACTCATGGCAATCCTCCTGTCTCAGCCTTCCAAGTACTGGGATTACAGGCATGTGCTACCACAGCTGGCTCCTATAACAATACTTGATGCTATATACTTTATAAAGAGAAGTTTAATTAACTCACAGTTCTGGAAGTTCAAGAACAGAGTGAGCTCCACCAGCTGAGCTCTAGTGGGGACTTCAGGGTGGACAGCATCACCAGAGGCAAAGGTCTCCTGAGCTCACAGGAGCCCTGAGTGAAGGGGGGCCCTGTTAAGAGCTTCCAACAGGCCCTGCCTCCTCTTACTGCCGTCACACCGTGCACCACGCTTCCTATATGAGGGGAGGGGCACACTCTAATCTTGTGTGGACCATAGCAACAGCGTGTTGGAAATATTGCATGGGACACGCCAAAACATTTGCCGTTGTTTATCTGAAATTCAAATTTGAGTGTAATTGTATTTGTTAAATCTGGCGACCCTGAGCAGGGTTGAACTCTTTGAGGTGGATCCGGACTCAGGGACGGTGATGGTGAGGAATGGCACTCTACTGGACCGGGAGAAGCAGGCCGTGTACTACCTCACGCTGCAGGCCACGGATGGGGGCGACCTGTCTGACACCACCATGCTGCAGATCCACCTGCTGGACGAGAACGATAACGCCCCTGTGGTCACTGGCTCCTACAACATCTTCATCCCGGAGGAGGGCAATGTCTCTGTGATCATCCAGGTGCGAACCAGCCTAGAGCTGATATGTGCATGCGTGCGTGTGTGTGTGTGTGTGTGTGTGTGCTAGAGCTGGTGTGTGTGTGTGTGTGTGTGTGTGTACCAAGTTTGGCTCTGAGGTCATGCTGGCCCTGGGTAGAAAGGATTTGCTGTGTGGCCCTGAGGAAGTCATTCAGTTTCTCTGAGTCCCTGTTTCCTCTTTTTTTTTTTTTTTTCTTGTGTGTGTGTGTGTGTGTTTGAGACAGGGTCTCACTACGCAGTTCAGACTGGGCTTGAGCTCACTTTGTAGCCCAGGCTGGCCTTGAACTCGCAACCATCCTCCTGCCTCAGCCTCCTGAGTTCTGGGATTGCAGGCGAGTGCCACCATGCCTGGCTCTATTTCCTCTTTAGAAAATGAAGATGATCATAGCATTTATTCACAGGCACTGGGGAATAATGAGAAAATAAAGTACTCAGTAATAGGCTTGGCATGGAACAACCCTTCAAAAACATATTGCTCAGCCAGTCCTGGTGGTGCACGCCTGAAATCCTAGCACTGAGGAAGGCTGGGCAGGTGGATTGCAAGTACAAGTCCTAGGCATCTTAGCAAGACCCTGACTCAAAATAAATAAAGAAAAGGGCTGAGGATGTTCCTCAGTATTAGAGCACCCCTGGGATCAATCCCCAGTGCCATAAAAACAAACAAACTGTTCTTTTGTGTGTGTATGGTACTGGGGTTGTCTCTTTTTTTTTTTTTTTTTCTTGAGACAGGGTCTCGCTATGCAGTTGAGGCTGGCCTTGAGCTCACTTTGCAGCCCAGGCTGGTCTCATACTTCTATCCATCCTCCTACCTCAGCCTCCTGAGTGCTGAGATTACAGGTGTGCTCTACCATCCCCAGCTGGTACTGGGGTTGAACTGAGGCCCTTGAACAATGCAGGCCAGTGTTCATCCACTGAGCTACCTCCACAACCCTTTTTATTTTTTTATTTTGAGACAGGGTCTTGCTAAGTTTCTAAGTTTCTTGAACTTGTGATCCTCCTGCCTCAGCCTCCTGAGTAGTTGGGAGGATACTGTCAGCTTTTTTTAAAATTTGAATGTCTGTAATATACTTTTCCATGTCCCCTTCCCAGTAAAAACATCAGCTCCATAAAGAAGTTCTCTTGCTTATAACGTTCTTCCTAGGGTTTAGATCAGGACCACGTACATAGTAGGTGCACAGTAAACAATTGTGAGACGAATGTATGACTGAAGACCTCAAAAGCTCTTGCAAGCTGTGGTCAGAGCTTTTTAGAGAGGAGACCCAGATCACAGGGAGGCCGGGAGATGAGCCAGTGACCCATGGCTCCAGGCCATTCGCTGCCCACGAGGGCCAGTGCTGGGGGGTGGTGAGTCTGCCAGGTGTGGCTGGGGCAGAGGGCTGATGCCAGCGCCTGCTTCTCTACCCAGGCCTACGATGATGATGAGCCAGGTACCAACAACAGCCGCCTGTCGTTCAGCCTCCTGCCTGGGCCCTACAGCCAGAACTTCTCAGTGGACCCCGACACGGGGCTCCTCAGGAATGTGGGGCCCCTGGACCGGGAGGCCATTGACCCGGCCCTGGAGGGCCGCATCGTGCTGACTGTGCGTGTGGCTGACTACGGCGTGCCTCGCCTCAGCACCGAAGTCAACGTCACCGTCACTGTGGAGGTATGGCCGGCCTCTCGGCTCAAGCAGGTGGCTGGCTGCTGCCTCCAGCTCGCCCGTGATGCACTCCTCCTGTGGTGCTGGGGCCGGCTGGGGAGCCCTGCGATGGGCTGCCTGGCTGTGTGGCTCTAGGCAGTCACTCATCCCCCTTGGCCCTCCAGTCCCTCCCATGTATGAAGCGGGTGGAGACAGCGGGAGGAATGAGTTACTGAACGGAAGCTGTTCCGACCCACGGAAGGTACCCGGAGAGTATTGGCTTCATTGCCATTCGGAGTCCTGCCTCAAACCCTCCCACCTCCCCGCGCCACCCTTCAAAGGCAAAGAGCAGGGGTGAAAATCAGCACTGCTAGGATGCACTTGCACACCAGGGCCTGAGAGGGAGGGGTGCTTATTATCATTTTATTGATCAAGAAAATTAGTCATGGAGCGGTGCAGTGGCTTTCTCAGAGTTGTTCAAGGAGGATTTGAACACAGTTCTAGAGCTGCCACCAGCCGACAGGCAGCTTCCTCTGGAAAAGGACCGTAACAAAGTGCACCTCTACAGTGGCCACGATGTGGATCGTACCCCCGGGGTTGTGCAGTGCAGTCTGCACCACTGCACTAAGCAGCCTTGGGCACCACTGGGTTGGGATTTCCCATTCTCCTGTAAAGATCAGAGAGTGCAGCCTCAAGGATAGTGGAAAAACAGCAGCCAATTTCGGGCTTGCTGGCTGTCCTGGGAATATAGTAGATTACAAAGAAGAAAAATGAAGAATTGTACTTATAAGTGAGTAGGTCTCTTTGAGCTAGTCTTCATTCTGTCCTGCAAGTGGGGAGTGCTATCCCATTTTCCAGATGCAGACACTGAGGCCCAGAGATCAAAGTCACACAAAAGGCAGAGGTAGGGATTTGAGTCAGAGCTGCTCTCCTGGCCACCCCTGTGAGTTAGGATGCTGTGAGAATGCAGCTGGTTGTGTGCGTGGAGCTGGCAGTGATGGTCTGAAAAACCACTGTCAGAAAGTACATCTCAACCAGGTGCACGCTTCTTTATTTATTTATTT